AAGTAAGTTTGTCTGTCTTAAGTTGTAAAACTGAAGTAAATTTGTCTGTCTTAGTTGATAGAATGAAGTAAATTTGTCTGTCTTAGTTGATAGACTGAAGTGAATTTGTCTGTTTTAGTTGTTAGACTGAAGTAAATTTGTCTGTCTTAGTTGATAGAATGAAGTAAATTTGTCTGTCTTAGTTGTAAAACTGAAGTGAATTTGTCTGTTTTAGTTGTTAGACTGAAGTAAGTTTGTCTGTCTTAGTTGATAAAATGAAGTAAATTTGTCTGTCTTAGTTGTAAGACTGAAATAAATTTGTCTGTCTTAGTTGTAAGAATAAAGTGAATTTGTCTGTCTTAGTTGTAAGACTGAAGTAAATATGTAATTCTGATGGTGTCAAATTAGAAGAATTACTATACTTTCACAAGGTGCAAAATTTGTATCATTACTAAGTTTTCAGAGTGTATAAAATTAGTAGTCTTGTAGGTATTCAATTGATGTAAGATTAGTAATATTACCATATTTTCACATGGTGCAAAATAAGTATTATTACTATGTTTTCAGAGGGTGTAAAATTAGTATTATTGGTAGGTATTTATATGGTATAAAATTAGTTGCCTTACTCTGTTTGCAGATGGTGGAATATTAGAAGTACTTACCTGTATTCTGATGGAGTAAAATCTGTATTATTATATATTTTCAGATGATTTAAAGTTAATAGTATTTCTCCATTTTCTGATGGTGTAAAATCCTTAATATTACTCCATTTTAAGATGATGTAAAAATAATAGTATTACTATGGTTCAGATAGTGTAAAATATTAGTATTAATATGTTTTCTGATGGTGTAAACTTAGTAATCTTACTCTGCTTCAAATGGTGTAAAAATTTTATTATTACTATATTTCAGATAGGGTAAAATTGGTAGTATTACTTTCATTCCAGATTATGTAAGAATATTAGTATTACTTTCATTCCAGATTATGTAAAAATATTAGTATTACTTTCATTTCAGATTATGTAAAAATAGTAGTATTAAAGCTCTCAGGGTACACAGTTAGTAATTTTACTCTGTTTTCAAATGGTGTAAAATATTATTATTGTTTTCAGATGGTACAAAGTTACTTGGACTACGTTGTTTAAGATGGTATATTATTCACAGCATTATTCTGATTGAGACATTGTGAAAGTAACAGTATTTCTCTATTTTAAAATGGTGCAAACTTAGTAGTATTACTATGTTTGTAGATGGCGGAAAATTAGAAGTATTTCTTTTTTCTGAAGGTGTAAAATCAGTAGAATTACGCTATTTTCAGATGATTTAAAGTTAGTAGTATTACTATGTTTTCAAGTGGTGTTAATATTATTAATATATTTTCAAATGGTAAAAAAAATTACTTGTATTAGTCTATTAAAGATGGTGTAAGATAAGTAGCATAAAAATGCTTTCATGTGGCATAAAAATAGTAGTGTTACTATGTTTTTAGTTGAGGTAAAATACTAATAATAATATGGTTTCAGAGTTCATAAAGTTAGTATTATTATTCTGCTTCAGGTGGTGTAACATTTCCAGTATTACCGTATTTCAGATAACGTAAAATGTGTAGTACTACTGTGTTTTCATATAGTGTGAGAATTATTAGTTTTATTCTAATATGAGATGGTACAAAGTTAGTAGTGTTAGTATCTATAATACAGTGTAAAAATAGTAGTGTTACTATGTTTTTAGTTGGGGTAAAATACTAATATTAATATGGTTTCAGAGTTCATAAAGTTAGTATTATTATTCTGCTTCAGGTGGTGTAAAATTTCCAGTATTACCATATTTCAGATAACGTAAAATGTGTAGTACTACTGTGTTTTCATATAGTGTGAGAATTATTAGTTTTACTCTAATATGAGATGGTACAAAGTTAGTAGTGTTAGTATCTATAATACAGTGTAAAAATAGTAGTGTTACTATGTTTTAATATAGTGTAAAAATTGTAGCATTACTCTGTTCTCAGATGTTGTTAGCATTATTACCCTCCTCTCATATGGTGTAAAATAATTATATTACCATGTTTCCAGATAATGTAAAAATAGTAGTATTGCTACATATATGTTTTCAGATAGTATCAATTTAGTATCAGTCTATTTTCAGATGGTGTAAAAATGATTATATTACTATGTTTCAAGATGGTGTAAAAATAGTATTATTGCTACATATATGTTTTCTGATATTATCAATTTAGTAGTATCAGTCTATTTTCAGATGGTGTAAAAATAATTATATTACCATGTTTCCAGATGGTGTAAAACTAGTATTATTAATACATTTTTCGATGGTATTAAGTTAGTGTATAACTGTGTTTTCAGATTAATGTAAACGTAGTAGAATTACGTTGTTTTCAGATAGTGTAAGAATTGTAGAACTATTAAGTTTTCAGATGGTGTAAGGTAAGTAGTATTACTGTTATTTAATATGGTGTGAATTTTTTAGTATTAATATTTTCAAACTGTTTAAAATAATCAGTATTTTTATGCTTTCAGATAGTATAAGATAAGCAGAATTAGGTTTTTTCAGGTGGTGTAAAATTAGCAACATTGCTAGGTTTTCACATGGCATGCGCCTGGCATGGCTAGTTGGGTGGGGCACCAGACTCGCAGGCTGAGGGTCGTGGGTTCCAATCCCCGATCCACCAAACACGCTCGCCCTTTGAGCCTTGTGGGCGTTATAATGTAACGGTCAACCCCACTATTCGTTGGTAAAAGAGTAGCCCAAGAGTTGGCAGTAAGAAGTTATGATTAGCTGCCTTCCCTCTAGTCTTTCACTGCTAAATAATGGACGGTTAGCGCAGATATACCTCGTGTAGCTTTCGCAAAATTCAAAACAACAAACCAAACAGATGGTGTATATATGTAGCATCAATTTTAAACCTCTTTTGTGCTACACAAACTAGCATAAAATTTAACATTTTAGCTAAGTCTGAAATGTCAAAATATCTGTTTTTTTAACAAGTCAGTACGTTAATTATCAGGAGTTATGTGCATGTTTACACACACAATGCTGGGGGGGGGGAATACTGGATTTACTTACTTCCTTGTTTACACACACAATGCTAGAAGGGAATACTGGATTTACTTACTTCCTTGTTTACACACACAATGCTAGGGGGGAATACTGGATT